GATAGGGACAGAAGGGATACGGGTGTGGCGGTGGGCACCGGTATGATCGACATGAATGAAGTCATACGCAATGGTGAGGCGCTCAGTAGCCAAGGCTTTCGTATGGTTTCCCCACATTTCGTGACCAAACTGTTGGTGAATATGCCGGCCGGACATATCAGTATCAAACACGGCCTCCAGGGGCCCAACCATTCCGTGTCGACCGCCTGCACCACTGGCGTCCACTCCATCGGCGATGCCTTCAATTTCATCCAAAGAGGCGCCGCCAATGTGATGGTGTGCGGGGGCACTGAGTCCGTCATCAGTCCGCTATCGGTGGCCGCCTTCGCCAGAATCCGGGCGTTGTGTACGAAATACAACGACAACCCAACCCAAGCCTCCCGTCCCTTCGACGCCAAACGATGCGGTTTTGTGATGGGAGAGGGCTGTGGACTCGTTGTGCTCGAAGAACTCAATCACGCGCTCAACAGAAAGGCTAACATTTATGCGGAAATCCTCGGTTACGGACTGTCGGGTAAGCAATGGTTTCTTCATTTCCTTTAGAAGTTTAACCATTTATTTGCACTCAAATTAGTATAAAAATACAAAAATATAAATATGTTGTCAACTAATAGGCGACGCGAATCATATGACAGCGCCGGGTGAGGACGGGAGGGGAGCGGTTGAGTGTATGCGGGCGTCGGTAGACGACGCGCACATACGTCTGGAGGACATAACGCACATCAATAGTCACGCGACGTCCACACCATTGGGCGATAAAATTGAATTGAAAGCCATTAGACAGCTATTTGGCGATCACTCCAAGAATATTCTCATCACTAGTACTAAGGGCTCGACTGGACATCTGTTAGGCGCTGCGGGAAGTGTTGAGTCGATATTCACAATACTCTCGTGTTATCACTCATTAGTTCCGCCGACAATCAATTTAGAAGAACCTATAGATAATGAGTTGCAAATAGTGGCAAATGTGGCGCAAAAATGGCGGCCGAAGAGACGAATTGCGATCACAAACTCGTTTGGTTTCGGCGGAACTAATGCATCGCTCGTTATCTCAAACTTTATCCTTTGAGAGACCCTTCGATTGGAACCACTGGTCGCTCTTGTCTTCAGACATAGCCTTCAATTTAAGTTAAAGTTTGCGTTTTAGATGTTTTAAAATTAAGTTATCCTTAGATTCAATAAAAATAAATTATTTATCAATACTTTGTTGAGCGCTTTGTCTGCCTCGGGATCTATTAGTGACAACTGTCTGAAGGCGACGTCACCAACGAAACAGATCTCGTGTCCGTCCGGGTCTGCGAGGATCACCACCTGAACGGTCGTCTTCCCCGGTGTGTCTAAACTGACTAAAGGCGTCAAAATAGTCTGCTTCTCGTCTTTAACCCGCGACTCAATGGCTGCCAATTGATCTTCAGGACAACTGAAGGCAATCCTTCCGAAGGCCTTCTCGTGTCTCACTTTGTCTTTGATATCAATGAACTCGAGTTTGCATTCATTCTCATTGAACCCCAGAAGGGCTGACCTATCATTTGACTCAAATATCTTCATATCTAGCAAACGGTTCCAATAGTCTATCGATAGGTTCAGTGAAGAGCTCGACAGTGAGACCCGTGTTATCCTATCGGTTGTGTTATCACTGTTTGAATCATTTATAATGAATTTGTATCCATCGGGCGATAAGACACTAATGACTCCATTATTATCATTGAAATCATATTTAGTAGTCTTAATGTGGTTGAGAAGGGTCTTGGATTCGATGGTAATGGCGCTCAAGTCGTTTCCCAATTGGTATTCATTGATACCGTAATTATAAGTCAACTCTAAGACAAAGTGATGGTCTTCAGGGCCGTAACCAATCATAGTCTTAGACCAGTGGCCATCGTATGGACCATTGCATGAGGCCTTACACCCATCGACGAACTCTTCGTGTCTTAAGACCTAATCATTGATTCAAATATCAAATGAATGTAATTGTTATCAAACAAGTCATCAATTAATGGATCCATACCTTCATCCGTAAGACATCCCGAAAGAACTCAATACTCTTGAATCGGTCGCCGATTTTGAGGACAAAATGAAGAGCTCTTCTCGAAGACATGACTTGCAATCACCGTTTGGATCAATTGGTCAATGAAAGAGTTGCTACAAATTTATCAAATAAGCGATGCCTTGCACTACCAGTGCAGGGAGTGCAGCTTGATATAGGTGTCGCTCTACCCACGTGAGAGTCACGTGACATCACATTCATTGTAGTACCAAGCTGATTTTCATTATCATCTAATTTATTTTATTAATTAGTTGTTACTGTACAAGTATTTTGTAATTAATATACAATAAAAATATTTGTTAAGTATTTGTTTGTAAATAGCGTTTACAGTTGAGCACCATTTGCTGAATGGCAATCATTTCAAGTATACCTGTAGTTAAATAGTTAACTGGTTTTTAGCCCTAAATCCCATATAAAATATTATAATATATTTTTATATTATATTTAGTTTATATTATTATTATATTATAAACTGAACGTATAGTTCATTTTAAAGTGACTTTTGCTTCAATACAGCATTTCGTTGATTAAATCCAATGAATGACTCATTCGGTGTAATATAACTTATATTACTGTATATAAGCACTGATTAGTGGAAATGTATTTCATGTTTGAGGCTCTCGTTTGGATTGTGACCCAATCCTTGCCAAACAAATCAATGTTTTTACATTCATTTGTTATGCACTTCACTATTGAGAGCACAGGTAGGCGTTTGGGATGAGCACCCGGTGCTCGAGGAATGACACATCGATTGGATACAGATTTGAAGACCTTTTCAATACAATTTTAAACTTTATTTTCAGTTAATTCATGAATTGTGTTGACATTAACTGCATATTAGAGTAAAAGTGTTTTATATTTAGTAACAAACATATTCTGTTAATTAATTGTAACATAAGATTGAGTTCATTAATTTAGTTTTTGTTTTATTTCTCGCAAGTAGTTTATGAAAGCTTATAATTATTTAGTCTGTTGTATGGGTTAATTGTTTTCGTAAAAAAGTTTTTGTTTGGTGAAGCAATTTGTCAGAACCGGGGGTGGGATTCGTGTGAAGCCTTCAATACGTGAGATATTTTGTAATTAATCATCAATTTTGATGAGAATTTATGCGAAATATTTGAGAACTAAATAAATATAATTACTGAACAAAGTTTTGAAAACTTTTTTCCACACATATTCGTACAATTTTATTAAATGATAATATTGTGGATATAGTTCGCGAATCAATGTTATAGTCATTTATAATGAAATGTCATTTTTTATATAAGTCTAACAGTAAGTTGCCCTTAGATTTACAAAAAAGTTTGTCCTCTAAACCGAGTTTACTGTAACTGAGGGCACCGGTAGTTTGGGAAGCAGTACTACACTCTATGTCATAGAGTCTATGATATATGATAAAAAATCAAGTTGTAGACATCAATGATATATAAAATGAGAATTTTTTAAAAAGAGATTAAAAATATTTCAATTAAAATATTCACAAATTCTTGAATAAATTACTGCATATTATGTAGGGTTTGATTCAAATATTGATTGATTGGATAATAATATTTAATTTTTGATAAAATAATTTTCAAATGAAATTGATTTCTAAATATAGGAAACGCATTGAGATTTTAATTATAGATTTATATAAAATAAAAATTAAAAAATAATTTAAATTAAGTCTAAAATCAAACAATTTTACGAATAATTTATTCGTAGAATAAGTTTAGCACTGATTTGTGGACAAAAATAAGGCATTAATTTTGTCACGGAATATACGAATGTTTTCGAGATTTGTGTATCGATTCGGAGATTGTGTTGAAACGAGTAAACAATTAGTTGTCAATTGGTTCGCAATCACCGCTTATTAAGGATAATATGTCTCAAGACTTAGCCAGAGGTGACTCCAATCAGGTGAAGACATCCATCACTGATCTCAGACACCACAAGAAGGCGTTGACCCAAGAGTTGAACCAAATTGTGGACAAAAGCCGTGATTTGCAGCGAAGACTCGATGAGAGACGGCTCAAGACATCGCAGTTGATGGACACCAGCCATTCTTTGGACCAACTCTTGTATTCGCTGAAGAGTGAGTCCAAGACGTTGGAGGACAGGACGACACGACTCGAGACAGAGATCGCCGAAAGTCGTGATTGTGTCCAACGATTGAAACAACAACTCATTGACAAACGAGTGGATCAGTCGATGGCTATGTATTGTCTTCAATGACCACTTCATTAGATCCCATTATTATTGATATTATCGTCTCTTTCTTGCCGTTCAGAGATCACATGAACTCAGAAGTGGACCAATTGTGTCGACTCTTCACTAATTTGACTAAAATTAACGTAATATTGGTTTTGAATGTTGTGTTGATTTGTGATTTAATATTGCATTTAATTTGTGTTTGCTTTGAATGAATGGTTAGATTGAGAGACATCTGAGCGGTGATCATAAGAAGACAATGAATGCCAGTATTGATCCCAAATTGGCTGCAATGGACGCATATCTGAACCAAACTCGTAACAAACGGGATATGAGTTTGTATTCAATGGTTAAAGTAATCTTCAATTGATTGATAAGTTTTGTTGAATTTCTTGTTGAAGTGATGCAAGAGTTGTCTAATCTTTTGATGGATTCAAGTGTTGGAAAAGAGACTCAAATGAGTGACGAAAGCGATGGCAATGACAGTGACTGGCCTATTGAGCATCGGTTCCTCTCACTGTAAATGATTTATAAAACAATGATTTTTAGAAAATATATTGATTTGTGAATTGCTTTTCAGCCAAATCTTCAGAGACGAGAACCGAGTGCTTAGCGAACGCATCCAATTCCTCAAGACATTGGACTAAGACTTTCGTTCATTCATTCAATTTATCTTAAATTCAGTCAATTATTTCACATTTATTATAATCAAATTGTTTCAAATGATTTCATTCGCAAAATAAGTTTTCAATAGTTTTTGTAATTTTAAAAACCAATGGTTTTCATATCTTTTTTTTTATAAATTGTCGTAATTATCTTAATTTTTCACTTCTCAAAACATTTGAATTTTGGAATTTTTGAATTAAATTAATAAATTCTTACAAGATTAAAACAAATTTAATAATAAATTCTTGCTATTTATGCCGTAATTGCAAGCACTGTACGAAAAAAAGTGTTACCGGTACTGTATAATTATTTCATTAATTTTCAAAACTATTCATGTTGTTTTTATTTGGTTTAACTATTAATTAGAATTAAATTTTTAAGTTTAATGTTAAAAATTAGAATTTAAATATATTTTTAAACATAACTAGAATTTGGAATGAATTAACGTAATCAACTCAAACATTATAATGATTAATTTTATATGCAATGTTATTAAAATTTTGATTTTTCCCAAATTTATTTTGACAGACTTTTAATGACTTTCAATATTAAATGTTAATACACTGATAGGAAATGAGTGTAATTATAGCGAAATTGACGCTTAATTGTTGTGGACATTGAATGGCATATTCCTGTAGTATTACTGTAATTGCAATCTATTTCTGAATCAAACCAATCATTCACTCAATCGATAATAGGTCTGCAAATCAATCGATTTAATTGTAGATTAAAAGCAATTTTTGCTATAATTACTAAAACAATAATCCAAATATTTTTCTTATTTCTCATATTTTTGCTGTCAATTTAATGCATAATTCAAATGCAGACCTATTTATAGACAAAACCAATACTTAGTGATAATCACTAATCAAACGAAAACTTTCTGTGGTTTTCAATGTTAATGACAACTGAAGAGATTGAGACTTGACTTCACTTGACTTATAAAAAAAGTTAATTTATTTGTTTTGCTTTTACTCCTGTATTCCCAATGCATTGAATTACAATTAAATTTTGAAAGGCTTTCAATTGAATAAATACATTGATTTATTGCAATATAATTATAAGACTATCAACAAAATTATAACATCTGAACAAATAAATAAATAAACAGTTTTTGCTTAAACTCTCAACCGTTTAATTCATAACCATTTGATTGATCAGAATATTTATCTTATAGTAATGTTATTCTGAATCTGATTTACAAATATATAATTATTTGTTTAGTATTAGCTTTTTTTGAATTGTAATAAAAATATAATAAATTTGTAAGAATACGAATAAATCTATGGTTTAAAAAGCAAATTGTTTAAAAGAGGAAAATAAAATCAAGTTTTGACCATAAAATAAATAAAAGATGTGTTTGAATAAATTAATTACCATTTGTGTTAACATTAATCGTACAGAAAAGTAGTTAAGAAATGTTTAACATTAGTTTTAGTGATGAGTTTTTTCTCTCAATGTTTTTATATTTGCGGTGAAAAAAGTTTTCAAAACCAAACTCTGAACCCAATTCTGAGCCGTAAAAGAAAACTCATTAGAATTCAAATGAGTTTTTAAACTATTCATTAAAAGTCGTGTTTTCATTGCATTTATATTTTTCTTATATGCGATACAACGAGATGTTAAAGAAAAAGACTTTATTTTGTCTGCAATTTTCTCCAATACTTTGTGTTGTATTTGACGGCAATTCTGTTGAACAGGTATTTCAAAGAATTTAATTAGAATTTAATAACGACTTGACATTACATTACATATTATATTATGCATTCGTTTAATTAGGTTTGAAGGTTAGTATGTATTGATTGACGCATTCATTGCTATTAATAAATCTTACGATCAATTATATCATTGAAAAGCTTATACAAGCGAAAAGGGAATTATAAATATTTTGCTTTAATTTGTATCTAATTTATTCATATATCGATTGACTACGAGTCCAATAGTTTATTGATTTATTGCAGCTCTAAGTCACACACGAATTGTCGCAATTAATTCTCGCTTTAGTTTTCTCAACCATTCAATGAACAGAAAACCAAAAAGAAATCTTATTAATTAGCGATAAAAATATTTTTTCTCACAAATATTTATCAGTAATTAAGCGATGAATATATTTTCAACAGCTTATGAGTCAAAAAGGTATTTCTGTGTCCAATGAATGAGCTTTTGAGACTATTTTTACTTATTGAGATATAAATGAATGATTTATTTGATTTCATTGAGTGTTTTGATGCTATCTCTCACTATCGGATAGCATATGAAATGATTATGAGTTTTACTACAAATAACTTCAGTCTCTTTTTTTGGTGTAATAAAAAGTTTTGAAAGTAATGTTTGTTTTGCTTTTATTTTCTCTCAGACTTATTGAAAATAAATATTTTTCTTTAATTCGCAGAAACTATTTAAAGCTATTTTGATTGGGAGTCAAAATAAGTGTAAACAAAGCTATTCTAACGTTGAATGAGAACACATTCAGACATATCTATCAAAAGAAGTGAATCCAACGATAATCTGTTTGCAAAAACATAAAACGACAACTTTTTTTGCTTATATTATCAGCAGATATGAGTAATAAAAATAAAAGTCTAGTGAAAACAATCGGAAAGGTCTATATGATTGGCATCGGCTTAACGGTCAATGACTTAACAGTTATTCTAAAATTAATTCATTCAGTGATGAGATAACGAAACAAAAATAAGAATCAAATCCAAAACACATCATAATATAAATGCATTTCATTTCCACTCACACTTAGAAATCGCTTTAAAAAATTTGATTTTAAATAAATTCAAATCAATTTCCAAAATGCAAACTAATTTAAATGATTGATTAGGGACTACAACTCTGGGTTATTCAGTAGTTTTTTTTGTGTGGCGACAAAAATACAATCATATGTTTGGCATAACATACATAACTGTACCAACAATTCGTGGGATTTCTAAATTTGCAACAAAACATACCCCACTTCCCCCTCATCTCTCTCTCTCTCTCTCTCTCTCTCTCGCAGTCAAAACCCCCTATCGAGTGATGACATTAAAGAGAATTTGTATTTTTTCAATTGAAAAACATTTTGAACCCAATTTTGTATTTACATGTAAGTGAAGGCCTGTTAAGAATTGGTGGCATTTCAGGCACTGATCATAATTTATGTCTTTTTATTTATTTTACGCTTTTTATTATTATTTTTGTGTTATAAATAAAAATTAGTTTAGTTTACAAATAAGTTTTATGCAATCATTTTATATATAATTAATATCAAACATAAGTTTAGCTTATGATATAATAAGGAGTTTATATTCATATAAGCATTAGATGAATACTGTCTTAAAATATAATTATTATTTGAATCAAAATAAATTGAAATAATTAATTGAGAACTGATTTTTATGATAACATTCTGCACTAGTAATATAACTATGATATAAATGTATTTAAATTAAAATGCATTTATTTTTATACATTTCCTCAAATTAGAAATATTTTTTTATTAAGTAATTATGAGGTTTTGTAGTTTGAATTTTTACAACTTTTGGAAAATAATTTTATTCAATGAATTAAATTTTGAGATACATTTTGGAAAAGCATTGAATAATCGATTAGATATACACCGGTATTATTAGTTGTAAATAATGATAAATTAGGACTAATTATTCGTTTTTGTGTATAAACTATAGTTTCATTCAAAGCCTAATTTTATCTTAATTTTTGCGATGGGTTTGACTTAAAAATAAATTATTTTATTATTATATAAACTTTTACTGCAGTAATTTAATCCCACATTAATAGGCATTTCTTAAAATAAAAAAATAAGACAACTTTTCTTATTTATAATAAATGGGACTTTAGTTTTAAATCATAATAAAAAAGTATTATTGGAGAAAAATAACTTTCGTTGAATTAAAAATAAGATTTTTAATATGAAATAAAAATCTTTTTTTGAAACAATTTATTAATATTTATATTTGAAAGGGAGATAAGGGATCAAATGTTTTGGATTTACATTCAGGTGTTTACTTCACTTTCATAGGAGCGTCTCATTAAATGCAATGGATTTATGTTATTTAGCAAATGGTTTCACTTTTGGTGTGTTTTTCAAATTGAATTCAAATAAAAGTTTTACGACTTTTTATGGGTTTTATTCAACGGAAGGTTGGAAACCGAAACTCATTAAAATAACAAAACTTTACTTTCAATTAATAAAATGCTGTAAATTATGCAAAACGGACATAATTTTTTGTAAAATAAAATATTTATTTAAAATAAATTGGGATTTTATTTCAAAAATGAATATATTTTGAGTTCAAACGAGTTATTATAAGCGAGTTGTTATATTTAATATTATTTATTGGTTTATAAAGTTAAATATAACGATATATTTCGTTTTTAAAATAACGAACTAATAAATTAAAAATTGTTGTCTTTTTAAGAAATGTTTCCGAAATTTATTATTTAAAAATATTAGTGTATAAAGAAATAAATGTTATATTATTAGCTATTAAATAGAGTATCGGTGCTGATGTAGAACCGGAATGATTGCCTCTCCTATATTGCAAATGTGAATATATTTGGCATTTATTTCTTAATACTCAGCTGTAATTCAATGAAAGTTTATTTTGAGCTCTTCTTTGGCAAAAAAGGCGTTTTTAATAATAATTTAAGCGATTTATTGTTAAAAACATTTCCATTCATTATTCAAATGAATTATTTAACTATTCTTTTATAAGTCTTTATTCAATTAAAACTCTTACAAAAAGTTGTACTCACTTTTTGTGAATAGTATGCACTGAATGCTAGTTTGTAACTCTTACACAATAAATTATAGTTATATACTTTACTATTATTTTTATTTTTACCCCAAAAGGGATGTTAAAGAGGAAAGAGAAAAACAAAATTATAATAAAATAATACTTTCATTAAATATAGTCATTATTCTCGCTAATGAACTCAAATGTGTATAAATTTTAAGTTAATCGCAATTTAAAATTTATACAACAAAAACAAGTAAATTATGTGTATTTTCTTAGGTTTACACTAACAATCGGTTTTGTTTTTATACAATTTATTCATCATTTTTCTCAAATATAGTATAAGTTAATATCATAAGTTATGCCTCTATTCATAATATAAAATATCAATAGCCAACAGCTAATAAGTTAATTAAATTTATAATAAAAGACAACAATAATAAAAATCTTATATGTTTTTCGTGTAGTATTATCTTATTCGACAGGCAATGAATTCACAATCTCTCTCTCTCTCTCTCTCTCTCTCTCTCTCTCTCTTCTCTTTCTCGTAAATATTTCTCAAGTTTTTTAGTAGAAAAGTTGTAAAACTTATTACTTGTATTGTCCCGTATATTATACACCGAAATATAGCATATGTGCTATATATTTGTGATTTCTATTTATATGGGCGACTGATACAGTGTTTTCTATGCTATAATTCATAATTTTGTTATAATACCTGCTGAGCAAATAAAACGTGATCCACGTAAATTTGCTTTTTCCACTAAATATTTTGTCTTTTATTAACTGTATTAAAGCTATGAATTTTAATAGTATTTAATTTTACGCACAAATATATTTATTGAGATTTATATAGCGATAAAACTAAATAAAACTTTTGCTCAGCTTTTTTATTTAATGATTCGTTAAACAATTAGCTATTTTTAGCATTATTCCATAAAACAAGTGAATTAAGCAATGTTAGTTTAATAAATAAAGTTATATGTATTAATTAGAGATGTGCTCTAATAAGTTAGTGTAAGTTATATGGGATGTGTCTATCAGTTTGTATCTATTTATTGCTCATATCTTTAATTTCGCTCAAATTCTCCCCAAATATGAGTCATATTTCGTGAAAATTCGGTGAATCTCTCGAAATAAAAACGATACATACCTTTAGGCATATATTAAATGCAGATTTATTTTTTAGAGCTAACTTATTACATTAGAAAAGTTTTTTCATTAGTTTTTGTGCCAAATATATAAACATTTAAGTAATCACTTAATAGTTTTGATTCATCAAATTAATTACATTTTATTGTCATTGACTTCAAACTTTTTAAAATAAACAGTTATTTTAAATGATTTTATAAACATATGGCTTTTAAGCATTAAATCAGTTATTATTATAATATTATTCTGTTTTTAAATAAGAAATCAAAATATTTTGATAGCCTCTGAAATTCATAGCCTGAATATAACAGTTATATCCCCATATGATTGACATATGATTGAATTTTGTGGGAATTCATAGAAAAACCTATAAATTTACAAATAGATTCTGATGAGTTATATTTGATATATTCACATCTATTACCTCTTTATGTATTACCACTAATAAAATGGATTCAAATAAAATGAATTAATTTATATGACTTTTGCCTGCTTTATGTGGCCCTTCAAGCGATCCAATCATTTGTGCAATTGATAGGAAAAAATAGAAACAAATCAATTAATTTTTCATTTTTAGATTTCAAAAAGCGATTTGCAATTGGCTTTGACTTACATTTCTATTGAAAAAATCTTTTAAAGGTAATAAATTTTCTTTTATAGAAAAATTTACATTAATTTAAGAGTTTAATTATTGAGAAAAATAAATAAAAAGGATTTTCTGAAATGACTTTTAGGAGTTTAACTTATATCTAATTCTTTGCTGACATTGATACACAAATTGTATTTAAATGAAATGTTTGCTTAAATTGTAAATTATGTGTAGAATTCATTTGTAAATCTTTGTTGTATTTTTATTTTTGTACATGAATTGCAAGTTTAAGAATACATACAATGAATTAATAGATATTTTATGCACCACTTTGTAAGCAATGGCTGTAATTGATATAAAGGTGTTTAATGTATTTAATTACTTATTATCACTAAAGAAAATCACCCGAAATTCCTGTATCATTAATTAAAAAGAAGTATTTTATTATGACTTTTATTAAGGCCAATAATAAATCACTCCTTTAGCTCTTAAATAGATTTAGAATCAGTTATTATATCAGAAAATGTACATAACATTAGTTACAATAAATATTTAAAACAACAAACAAAAAATTCCCTCCAATTCCGCAAAAATCTAATGTTTGATAAAAATATGAATAAATAATTCTCTTTATAAATATATCTGAATATTGTATTTATAATACTCTTATTCTTATTTTTTAATTATCTTATTGTGAGCCAGAATTGGGACGAAAATACAATTAATTTTATGCCAATATATTAAATAATATTTTCTGTGTTGAGTAAAAAAGTTTATTTAAAAAAATAAGTTTTCTTTCTCTGATGATTAAGTGCATAATGAAGTGGAATGGAGTCGAATGAGTGGAATAAATACATTTTTGCTCAACAATTAATCCATTGTTTTAAATTAGATTTTTGCTAAAAACCACAAAATCCATTATTAATGTGAAGATTAATATTCACTGAATATAGCGTCAGATGCGATGATTAGATTTTTTGGTTGCTTTGTTTTAGCATTTTTTTATTTTGTTGTTTTAATTATAGATATTGGACTGGTTTTGGATGATGTCTGGGCAGACAGTGTACAGTATATGATGCAAAAGAGATGTTCAGTTTATTTATCAAATGATTATAATTACTATAATCGAGATGTGAGGCGACAGATGAGCGCCGGCTTATGGGCTCTCAAAACGTGATCTAATTGTGCAAAAAGAAGAGCAAATGATTGTTGAAATACACCCAATCATTACAATCATTACTATTCTGCGCGCAAATGACCATTTCATATGTGTTTTGATAATTTGCTTTTTTATAAATTAATATCAATGACTTGTTATATTATATAAAGTAGTCTCTTATCAGATGGTATAAGCGCTCGTGAGGGGCGGATATGCCGTAAGAAATGTTTAACTCTGTCTTTATTTTATTTGTTTCATTCAATTTTCATTATCAATGCGAATGCAAATAAATCTTTTCAATTCTGGTATTATTTATTGTTTGTTAGATTCAGATATTAATTAAAAAAGCTCTTCACGAGTGACTCGTCCTTCGCATACCTATGACTCGGGGAATGGATTCGTAACACATATTTTCAGATTATTCATTCAAATTATATGTAGTTTTAAGGCTTTTTGAAAACATTAATATTTTTAAAAACAACTCTAACTGTGAATAAGAAGCTCTGAATTTCTTATTATTTCTGGTTTAGTGGTGTTAATAGTATTAACTCATAACATGTTAACTAATTTTTTATTTTTAAGCACTGACTCAAAATAAATTTCAATAAATAAATACTAATTTGTGTTTTAGTTCCCAAAAACAACAGCTAATTATTATTTGTTGAATAAAACCATTTTAAATAAAAATGTTATTATATTTATACAATAATTGTGTATTCCATTCTAATATAAATAATATTCAGATTAAGTCTTTCTAATCTATTAATAAAAAGTAAAATTATTTTTAAAATTTATTTTAGTTCTTTATCTCAAAAATCTTTATGAAGAAAGATCATAAACATGAAGAAAATTTTAATAAATAAAAGATTTGAAACAATTTACAGAAAATTGGAAGTTTTATATAAATATAATTTAGATTCTTATAGTGTTTGTAGATTTTTAGGATATATTATAAGTAGTGGTGGAATAAATTTTGTTGGAAAGTATTACTTTCAGGTATTGCATTAGATTAGCATAAATTAAAGTGTCGATAGAAATCCATAAATAAGTATTCAATACAATCGATAAAATATCTTCAAACAGTAAGGACTTAACATAAATAGAAAACAATAAACTATGAACTTTACAAAAGACTTTTTTGCTGGAGATAATTTATTTTGAGATCATATTAAAAGTATCACAAGTGTTTTGCGGCAAACAATCAATTCGTTGAATATTGATTGCATAAATCAATATAAATATTAGCAATAATACAATACTAGTGTTTATCAACAAATACTAGAGAAGAGTCTCTTATTTGTTGAGATAAATGCTCACAATTAATGAAATTGAATTGAATTGAATGCCATTAAATGTAGTGCAAAGTGCATATGGAAAACATGGAAAACACTTTTTTATGATAATAGGACTGAATTAAATAGTGGTACAGTATATATATCATATATTAAATGCAAATGATTTACTCTGTTTGGGAACAGTTTAATGCACTCAAGCGTTCACTGTATTGAATGAGAAATTAATTCAGACTATTCTTTCTCTCTTACTTTCAAATTACGGTAAACTCTATTACCTCTACAAGTATTATATAATCATAAAAACAAAGCAATACTTTATTAAACTTAAACCCAATTCTGTAACAAAACACGCACTTATTATAATAGATATAATAAAGAAATGTTTTTATCATATGTACACTATTCTGTTAGATATGGGATGACCAGGTTGTGAATAAAAATTAATTTTGTTGAATCTTTTATTGAAATTTCTTTCGACTAAATATTTACATAATTATGTTCTTATAAAGTATTGACAATATTTATAATATAGTTGTGAATCCGTAGCAGATGTCAAACCAAAACAACTGTCTCTTGTGAAAAGGCTTCCTGAATGTGGTGGGGATGGGCCCATCCCTGTGTTAGACACGGACTTACCGTTTGATACGAATGTTACCGAAAGATGCATATTATATAATATATATTATATACTGTAAGTCACATAAGAGTTGGCGTTTGGCGTGTGATATATTGAGTTCAAAGCAAAATCTATTAGATTAGCAAATAGTGTACACGAAAGTGGGCCGAGACTTAACTTTCTTATCTATAGAGTGAAATAAACTTCAATTTTTCTTTTGTTTGATTAACATAAATATAATTCAAATATATAATAGACATAAATGAATAAACATTTGTAAAATGCATGCAATGAATGAATTGTGAGTCAACTGTGAAGGCCAGACCTGCGGGATGTTGTGGTGGATATGCCCTCAACTCCCCGTACAATATGGTACTGAACTGAATACCTGTGCAAAAATAATAGCGCTATACCTGTATTTTTGTTTGAATGCTATTAATTTAAAAGATATCATATTAAACATAAATACATGTCTTGTTATTAAACTCTAATATCGTATTATTATTTAAACTTTAATAACAACATAAGTATTGCTAATGTCTGGTATGGAAGTACTGAAAGGAATTTTATATAACTTATAACTGGATGTGAATTATTAATGCATTGCTATTAGCGTACGATATGACTGACTATTACCTAATTTTAGAAATATTATAATAACTAAAAAGCCCTCACAAGGTCTCAGTGGTTCATACCGTACTGTATGATTATACACTGCTATTGATATTGCGATCAAATATAAAATACAAATAATAAAACACATGAAGAATTGAGCAAAAAATTATTATATTCTTCTCATCTCCGACTCTTTCACTGTATATACAGTTAACTTGTTTTAAAAAATAGAGTGAATTACCGGCGCACCTATATATGCCTGTGCAGCTCAGGTATGCATTGCATAACAGTGTGTACTGAGCAGCAAAAAAACGTATGCAATAAGTAATGGCATATATGATAACTATGATATAAGTATTAGCGTATTTAAAAGAAATACTATAATACCGGTCAGATCGGCATTTATATAAATAGCACAACCAATATATGATGGCTATAGCTGTGGACCCAATAGCAATTGCTGAGTGTGTCTGTGCCTCCATACCCTCTATCCCACTAAAACAAAATTAACAAAACTTTAGCGTTTGAATCGCTGTTAACAAAGTTTGCTTTGAATCGAAAGCAGATCACAACGACTATCAAAGTAGAAGTCATTCTCAATAGCTATGTATCGAAAACGGGATTCAAATGTAAGAAAAATCAAATACACATTAAAAGGAAATAAAATATTTTTATTGATTTTCTCTCCCATTTAACGTTCACTTTAAATGATTTGACTTCAACTTCAACTCGGATTCAACTCATTTGAATGCAAGTTCTAATTGAACTAAAAGTTTTGCAAAACTTTTTATTGGACTTTCATGTGTTGCTCACTCACTGATCACTCCATACGTGTTGTTCCCTCTCTTTTGCATCATTTGATGGTTTGCTTCGCAAAATGCTATACAAGACTCGCAACGAGAGAGAAAATAAATGTGTTTTAATAAAGTAATCATATATTAAGTCTATTATAATAAGTGACAACAACCGCAAGAAAATAAAAAGTTTTCCTATCTTTTAATTTTCAATTATTCTGTTTGTGTGATAATTGTTTAAATATAAAAGTCTATTCTTTTTATTTTGTGCCCATTTTCCGCTTTGTATTGTCTGTTAATAAACACTTTTAATCAAAAAAAGTTTATGTTTAGAAAGAGTGAGTGGAAAAAAGTTTTGAGTGATTTTCAACACAAAAAACTATTTAAACGCATCCAATGAATAAAAGTAAATAACATTAACTTTTAGTTTTGTTTTGAACGCTTCAAAGAGTTAGTTATCATTTGTAAAGAGTTGTTGTATTTGAATATGCAATCAAATGTGTGTTTAAACTATTGATTAAATAACAGGCAAAACAATTGAATAAATAATTATAAGTTGTTTTGTTGTGTAAAATGCAGAGAGAGATGGAGAGAGAGTGAGCGAGAGATTTGAATAAAAAAGAGAAGTGTTTTAGTGAATGGATAATAAAGATTGAGAGATATATTAGTTGAGAGATAGAGTGTGTGAGTGAGTGGCCAGGGATGTGATGTGTGTGTGGATGTGCCAGTGATTTCATTTGCCACAAGTTTGTAGTTTGTAGTGATTTAGCGCCTCACCAGTCGCTGTACGGTATATACAGTTTGATTGTACGGTAATATTATAGTGAATCAGGTTTTGTGAGTTCAATACACAACTCAATTGAATTGCTTTGGAGAGTGCATTGAGTGCTGAGAGCGTAGAGAGCAGTGAATGCATGCATTGAATGCACTGTAAAATACAGTTAAGCAGTGAATGAATGAATGCTTATTTGGTAATCGTATGAAAGCATTGGTTCTGTGAGTATAGCATAGCATTGAATGCATTGAAAGCCATTCACAACATCTTATCCTCCCTTTAAAGTCAATGCATTTCTCCTCTCAATTCAATTCAGTACTAAAATGGCTGACAAGTAGTGTAAACATTGGCTCCACTACTGGCACCTCTTCAGCCACCACTTCATCCACACTTACCATTCCTCCACAGATGTGCACTTCACTGATTGTGTAGACAATCAATGCCAACACCACCGCCAACACAACCGCAACCATAAAGCCATAGGTAAGCCATTGACAGCTGATTAGGTGACCACTTGTCACCACCATATGATCATACGGTCCAGCTGTTTGTCACGATCACCAAAGAGTTGTTTATGTTTATCCCTAAATATGTATGCATTGGATGTGTTTGTTGTGATGATTGCATCGGATGGCTGGACACGAGTGTGTAATGGTGTCCATTGGATGGGATGTGTTGCTCGGACTGGTAGACTGATTGATGACATGCGGTGTCTTAGAGTGATGTCTGTGTGATGGTGGTGTGATTGTCCTTGACACGAATGTGTGGCGTGTGTGGTGTATGACATGGTTGTGGTGTCGGTGCAGAAGTGATACTGTGATGATGTTATGACTCACTCCCCGATCGATGCAAATAATAATAATATCCATAATATAGCGAAGCATTGAATCTCTTTTTGTGGTTTACTTTCGTTTATTAGGATATTATATATACTATTGTTTCCATTGTTTCGTAACTTTTATTCTTTACGATTAGTATAAATATATATTTATCTCTGAATATAACCGTAAAAATGTGTTATATTTGAGATCGATTTGTGTCCCAATTCTTGTGAGTGTGACTCAAGAGACTCCAAGAGTTTTGAGTATAACTTGTAGTTTAGTTTAGATTCAAATCACTCTTATTTTTAGAGTCTAATCGACGATAACTTCAGTTACGAAGTAATGAATACTTGACTTTTATATCATAATTGACTTCTCATATAATGGGTTGGGTTTTGTCGGACACACAATAAGTCTCATAAGGATTTGTTGTGTGAATAAAACATAGCAAACTTTTTTGTGTTTGATTTTTGCGATAAATATCTAATTTTAGAGTTGAATGTAATTCTTGTCTCATTTTTGTTTTGGTTTTGTCACAGATTTATGTCATCAAAGAATTCCTAAGACATTGTTTCCTAACTTATTTGGTGCCAAACAAGTAATCGTTAATTATTTAATAACTAAATAATAATGAGATTCACTATTGAGAAGAGACTATCACCTAATTTCGATACACCATTCGTCTGATCGCCAAATAAAGAGGTATTTATTCAAACAATATCTACTGTATATGAAAGCAAAATGAATACATTACTACCATAAGTTATTATGTAACTTATTAAAAGTTTATTTATTTTTTTGTTTATATTTTTATTATTAAAATATTTGATTTAACCATTTATTATAATAATTTCATAACTATTTAAAATGCATTCTCTTTATAGTTAAATCGATTGTTAATGTGTTTTTTCTGTGGATATTATTCTCTAATCTATTAGTGTTTGTATTCAACTATTATATAAAATATAAATATTTTATTTTATTATTCTTTTAATAGTCCAAAAGCTTTTACATAATGTTATGTTTATTATTAATAATAATAACAACAAAATATAAACTATTTTATGATAAACTTCCTCTCAAATGCATAGGAATTAATGTCAACTAATATTTTCATTGCTCTGAAGTTTTTTCTGAAAAGTTTAAATATATTTGTTTTTACAGTTATATTGCAAGTCATGAACTACTATTGACTTGAATTTTGTTGTGGTGTTTATAATTATAAATTAAATAATTGTTTAGTTTAGTCCCTAAACGGTTGTATACATATTGTGATAATTAATTCCGATATTTACTGTCGTTTTTTGCTTGTTTTGTACTTTTCATAGCAATGCTCTCAACAGACCGTAACTCGAAGTCAGTCTCTTGTGATTCTCTATTCTATGAGAGATCATCACTAAAGAGAAAACTAATGTCGAGAACCCCGTCGGGCACGGGAGGGATGGGGACGTCCACTATCTCCTTCAAGAATGACGACTATAATTATTTGATTAATTGTAATGAACTCATCAAAACTTGTAAGGTATGACACATCCCGAGTCCGGACCCCTTATGTCATTATTGACACTAATCTCGTGTCTATTTATATTACAATTTTCTCTTTAAATAAAAATTGAAACTTTTTTGGTTAATAAATGAAAGCTATTTTGATAAGAAACTAATTATAAAATAATTAATATTTTCTTATTTTTGTTTTGTTTGTTGTTTACGAATAGGAAGCGCTGTTGGAGAACGAGTCGACTGTAATAAACACTTTTTCCGATATAACTACTGCTGAAGGCATTAACGATGTCTCACAGAAAGACTATATTTCGGTATTTCATTATTGGTTTCGTTAATTAAAGCACTTAATTATTATTTTTACGTAATTTTACGCATATTTGGTTTTATAGCCAAATGACTCGTAAAATCTTATCGCAGAGAGTCTTTAGTTTTTTATAAGTTTTATACAAAAATACCTTTAAGTGTTTAATGGATAAAAAGCAATATATTGTTATTTTCGATTTGTATTTTCACTTATTATCTTTGATTTTTATTTAAATTGTCTCATTTTGTTGGTCAACAGGTTCAACAAACTCAAGAACTTCAGAAAAGTTCTATAGCGGAGTTCAACAAATGGTTAAGTTATACCGAACACCAATTGGAGACCATCTGCTACTGTGCCAACACTAAGATTAAGTCCGACTGGAAGGACATTCAAAGCCATCACAAAGTAAGTCATGAACCACAAGATTGGACACTCATATCCTGTAATATTGCCATTTTGAGGGTATTCTTCAAATGATTTTATTGCCGAACAGAACTTTAACTCTTAAATTAAGTCATACCGTATTAACTCTTCTACCCTTTGGTGTCACTTTTAAGTGTTTATTAAGTCTTTTTAAAGTATAATATTAGTTAATTTATTGTATTACATATAATTATTGCCTCGATTAATGTTTAATTTGAATTTATTTCTAATGAATTGACACAAATATTTGTTGTTTTCCGCTTTTGCGTATAGTTAAGGCACACAATCGTGTGAATTCATTAATGAATATATGTTTCTGTGATTGTGATAAAACTACAGGTATTTGAACGATCAGTATTAAAGTATTGCCAATTCAAACAAATAGATAACTATTTTAATGGTTAGTTGTTGTCGTGGCCCGCAGTCAGATGAAGCCACTAATGCTATCTGTGCTGACACTGCAAACCCTATTATATAATATCTACCGGTTCTCCGAAACACGACACGATTTTTATTCATTTTTTATTCATAAGAAGGGAATCCGGTTTGTCTTGAATTGAGTTCAACCACTCGTTCAGTGTTTCGATTCTCAACCACAATATGTCTCCACTCTATCCATAAGTTTGAAGTATGCGTTGGTTTTGAGTTTCAAAAACTTTTTTGAGCACAAATTCTTTGAACAACAAAATAGTTTTTTAAAAACCAGGTTTGAGAAAATGTGCGCCAATTTCTCGCAGCACTAGATTTGTTTGTCAATGTTTTGACGTATGTTTTCAGTGGAAAAAACATTAGTTTTTAGTTTGAAATTGGATTATGAAATATACATTATTAAAAAGTACAATACCATATAATAATATGGTGTGTTTAATGTATTCTAAAAAAGCTCATTATAACTATTCTGACTGTAAGCTGTTTTGCATGGCTTACACTTCCGTTTCTATTATAGTTTTGAACACTACGGCCGTCCCTCTCATAGCCTTTTAAATGCATTTCTTTGCTTAACTGTAATTTGAATTTGCATTCCGAGCGAAACGAAAAGTAATTTTTTCCTAAAACTATAATTGCGTGCAATGAGGGGTATGTCAGACCTGACCGTCAAATAGTCACCAAAGAGTTCAGAAAGGGTTGCCCACCATAAAGACCATTACAATCAACTAGAAATTGGAGACAATTCATATTTTATGCCAATAACCATAATAATTATCATTATTTTAATGATTTTATGAATAAGTTATTCAGTTTTTATGCAGTAATAGCCTAAGCCTTAGGGATTAGTTTATATTGTGATAGGAGATGTCAATTGTAGGCAAAATGTGAATTACAATTGAAGTAATTGTTAGCAATTGTATGGGAACTGTATAATAGTTGTATCATAGTTTGTAGTGTATTGTGGAAAATAGGGTTTCATCTCATTTTCAACTCGTTTTTGCCCCATCAATGCATTGCCACTGAACCAAATGCAAACCTACCAGCGCTGGCGTCCAATGGGAACAGTTGCTAGTGGTGAGCTAGTGGAGCACGTGATGGTATCACCTGGTGCTTTCACAACAAGGCAGTGTGTGTAACGCTTGATAGCATTCCCATTAACCTGCCTCTGCCTGTGCCACCACTCTGTGCCTCCACTCCGCTCCACCACTCTGTACGCTACTCGTGTGCCACCACTTGTATTGTCAATCCATACAGTCATACAGTGATACCACTATTGCTTTCGATGCCAATGTGTTTGCTGTGTGTCTATTATGTTATCCCAATCCCACAACTGTTTGCTTATTCCTCATGAGTTCGTCGCAGTGACAGACCATCCCGTAGTCGATGTTGTGGCGACTGTCTGACGCCTGTGTCTGTGTCCTCCCCAATGATCAATCGCTGGCAAACCAATCAATTCATCCAATTGTGTCCGTCTTTTAAGTTCTCATAGTTTTCCTCTCATTTATGTTCAACTGATTTGCCACTCATTTCCCATTCATCACAAAGTATTACCTGATCTCACATCTGACATAAAACCCATACTCTATGCCATCGATTGCTTGTTTGTCTTTGTCTTCACATTTGTTTAAATAATTCATTTGCGAACTAATCGTCTAAGCGTTGAGTCGTTAATACCATTTGTTTGATTGAAAAGTTTTTCAAAGTATCAAACCATCAGTTTTTGAGTTTTTGTTGTGTCGGATGACTAATATCTGGATCTGATTTTGTTTACGCCTTTAAAACTCAGTGGTAAGCATTGCTTTCATTGTTTTGCTTTTCCCTTTAATAAGTTATTTAATATGTTGATTATACATACATAGTATGATTAATTTGTTTTCACTGATTAGAGCCACTCTTACGGCTCTCTTATCTAATTTATTGTATAAAATATATGCCATAACTCTTAGCTCTCAATGCAAACACCAAATGTGTTGTGGAAAAGTGTCAAAAACTCATACAATGCATATCCTATTGAATGAAAGTTTTGACTTTTATTGCTTATATTACTAGCAATTGTTATTAAGCTCTGTATTACATAGAGATTGGTAATAGCGATAAGCATTAGCATTTGCATCGCATGATTCCTGTATCCAAACGCTAACAACTATTTAAATCTAATCAAATGTATGCTCTTTCGCTCATTTCATTGTGCGATAATTGCTTTTCATTAGGCGTTCCTCAGATTTCGTCCTTCGGACTGACATAAGGGATAAGGGATTGATTTGATTTCATAGGACTCAGCCCTTACTGTACTCCCATTCCCAACATCGAGACCATTATTAGTGAACAATATTATAGTTTTAGTGAAGCAAATAATTATATGAGTGTCAGTGCAAAGAATATAAGTCACGGAAAGTTTGAGCTCTCTTTTGCCACAATTGTCTTCAATGAGTAAGTTTTCAAAAGTACTCCTCATTTAACCATCTCTTCGGCACAATTCATGTCTGAATTGGCATCAAATCTACAGAAAAAAACGTTTCTGTAATGACTCACAAACGTAAACGTAAATGGTTTAACATTGAATTCAATTGTTTAGAGAATATGTATTTTAAGTCCACTAAACGAAAGCTTTTGGCTATGGTTTAAGTGTTGAGATTCAAGGACTGACTTTGACTTTATTTGCATTAATATGTGGTTTCTTTGTATTGCCTTATCTTTCACTCAAAGCACCAATTATTCAGTGGTAGTGTTTGTGAGGCTTTTGTGTTAGAGTTTTGATTAAGTGTTTTATAACGAAAAAAGTGGAGAATATGTTGTACTTGAAAGGACTCCACGATATAATGATTGGCTTTTTATATGCATTTTTTATTGCAAAATCTAAGCTCATGTGTTGTAATGGCTGTCAATCTCTTGTTGAATATAAAAATTCCGGTTATTATGTGATGGTTGGGTCAGTTGTTGCTGAATTGGGTGTGTATTTCTCTATACAGCTCTCATACAGGACTACACACACAATAGGATATTATGGCAATTCATAATATATTTTATAATGTTTTGCCCTAAAGTGTTGTTTCGTTAGTTTCGTAGTAATAATAATTAGTCAGTTCTCGTAGTCCTCTAAAGTCTTTAATATTTGATATGTTTTAAGAGCACAACGAGTGCTTCGGTATTATAATTACTGTTCATCTCTTACACGCCTTTTATCTATAATTGCATCGCATTCTCATAAATTGCTTTTTACTGGCTGTCCGTCCAGTCAATACACAACACAATTAGTATTTTCTAAGAAAGGCTTTGAAGGCATTTCCCTAACTCTTGTGCCAAAGGATGTGTATGTTTTTGGCATAAAAATGACTGAACTTTGTTTTGCTGCTATTAATCTCATTTCACTACTAAAACATGATATGCTTATACCATATGTGTTATCGATGGCCACTATATTATACGGAAAACGATATAATTCTTAAATTGCTTTTTCTTGTTATCGCTTATCACTTGTTATAAAACTTTTATTTTATTTTAATTTTCCATTTAAATGAAATAACTATTCATTTGTCTCACATATCGTAACTTAAATCTAAGTAAATATTGTGAGTACCGTATAGTCTAACGTAAGGATCAATGACCTCTATTTCTCTATACTATTTGACTGCCTTTTACTCGTATACCTTTCCATACCTTTCCATTCCATATACTTATGCAATGCATACAATTGCTTATAGCGAGTCATGTAATACTATCGATGGTATTATTTGTGGTGATCCTCAAGAAATATCTATTATGAAAAGAAGTGTAAAGAATTTTTCTATTAAATATAGAAATTATCATTTTTATGGTGTTTTCGGTATGAATTACATGCGATGGATGTCTGAATATGAGTGATCGACCACTACTTGTATATGATTTGCCACTTCTTTCAATCGTATTGCCAGTGCTCTGCCATAAGTATATGTTTCTCTGTATATTTAGGTCAATATTTTATTGTACGCAAAGCCAAAGTCTCACAACTAAATAGATATTTGTTATGCTTTCGTATAATAGATATGTGTTGTGTTTGTGTATCTGTTTTGTAATGCTTTTGGTTTTTTTCAGTTTGCGTTTTGTTGAGCGACTGAACAAATTCTCAATAATTCTCATATATTTTCCACTTGTTTTGCAATTGAACTTCACTGCGAGTCAGTCATACATTTGTGGGTCAATGTATTTCAATGTATTTTATTGTATTCCTATTGCAATATTCATAGAGTTTGAATTGAATTGCTTTCTTACAATTCCTATGTCTTATTCACTCTTTTCTGCTCAGATGTTCCCATTTTTGAACGTATTTTTGGATACCTGTGCTGTAATTTGGTATTTTATTATAACAATCGTTATGTACTGTGATTACATAATCAGAAAGTGACCCAAACGTTGACTGAACCGGTGTTTGGGTCACAATTGGCTGTATTTAGCTGTGAATGTAAGCGAATCTATTAAACGTAATTCTCATGCATCCACTCAATCAGACTTAGAACTCCTTACCTATCATTGAGTGCTCTCTTATTTGTTATACAATAGTACAACACAATAGAAACACTCATTTATAGTGAAGTCTTACTTTATGCACTCATATAGTATTAGAGGAGTTAACCTATTTTGATGGCGAAAGTTATAAGCGTTCAAAGTTATACTTTTATT